AGTGACCAGTGCCTGATGTTTCAGAAGGAATAAACAGAACAGAGCAACTTAGAATGATCCTTTCTCTGTCACTCAGTCGTAGCTTCTGGCAGTTGGATGTTTAGGGACACCCAAAACATGGTGTTAATAGCCATTAATGGATCTATAGTCCATAAACTTATAAAACCTTTTTGGAGCCAAATTATACTTTGGCCATCACAAAATCCCATGGCAACGAGTTCCACAGATTGTGTTGTATGAAGAAGTACTTCTTTGTGTTTATTTTATAGGTGCTGCTTATTATTTTCATTGAGTGACTCCTAGTTTTTGTGTTATGTAAAGAGGTAAATGTGTCACAATTGATATGGGGCACAAGCACAGCTATGGTGTCAGCTAGTGCATGACACTCATAATCCCTTTGGGGATGCGTTATTAAAAACATTTTTCACAAAAAAAGTTAAGTTGTGTAGGGAGACACGCACTAAACACTCTTGTGCCAAATGAATTATGCTGTACATATGCAGGCAGACTACCCAAGAGAGTTGCTAGCCAGCTAGTTTTTGCAGGTCATGAGTGGCTCAAGGGGACATGGGGAAGCTATTGAACCTGAACTACAGGCAGTCCCCGGGTTACGTACAAGATAGGGACTGTAGATTTGTTCTTAAGTTGAATTTGTATGTAAGTCGGAACTGGTACATAATATAGGGGAAACTCTAGCCAAACATTTCTCCAGAGCTCAGTTTTATTCTCCCACGCCTCACTTCCCTCAGTCCTTTATTCTCAAGCTGAGGTGTCTGCTGAGAAAAGCCGCTCCGCGTCTCCCTAGTCTGCTGGGGAGGAGCGCTAGCTTCGCGTCTCCCTGGTCTGCTGGGGGGAAGCAGCTAGTGCGGGGTTGCCTCACCCCGTTTGTAAGTAGGGATCCAATGTAAGTCGGATCCATGTAACCCGGGGACTGCCTGTATACACAGGAATTGTAAGTTTGAAACCCATCTTTGTAGAAATCTGGGAGTGATCTGAAGGCATGTTGCTAAACACTGCTGCTGACTGGTGGAGATTTTATTTTGGAGAAGTGTAATCTGAAAAAAAAAAAAGGCCTCCAAGATTTTACACATGAATGTAAACATGTGAAAATGTGTGCAGCAAGGGAGTACACTGCTGGAATTTTTGGTAATCTGTTGTTTTATCCTGTGTGCATAGATGTCCCAAGTAGGACATTTGCTTTATAAATCCTCTTTAATCTTTTCATCTGCAATACTGCACTTTATGGGCCTGTGCACAATGTTTCATCATTGCGTTGTCAAAGGCTATAGTAGGAAGCTACTGCCAGATCCAAGGGATGTGGTCCAGCATAGTGAAAGAGAAAGAGGCCAGTGAGTTGAAATACATTTCATGTTACTGTGTTGCAGTACCTCAGGGAGAAATGCTGTAAAGCTAGACCTCCTGTTTACCTCATTTTTTTTCTTACTGAAAAATGCACTGGAATTGCAAGGGTTTCCAGGAATTGATCTTGTGGGAAAGAGAGCACAGATGTGTAGATCAGTTTGGTGTGCCTGGAGTTGTGCCAGTACCGGAAATGATATGGCTTTGCCTATCTCTACCAATACAGACCTGTACACATTCATGGATGTGGCTAAGATGTTGGGGGTAGAGGAGTTGAGGATCATGAGCAGGGTTGTGTCCTTCTAACTTCACCTGAACAGCCTCTCAAAGGGTGGACTAATGACTCGGTATAGTTTGATAGTATGAATGTAATTCCTTTGCTGTGGGGCATCTTAGTACGTTTCTCACACATTTTGTGTGTGTCTCCTGGGCATCCCAGTCGTTGGCAGAAATAGTTGCCTTGGTTTTTCCCAGAATGCACTGTTAACAAACAAGGTTAGCAGGATAGTAAATATGGATGTGCAAACATGATAGCAGAAAAGCAGCTCTGAATCATGTTACATTTAACTGGTTAAGATGGTCATATATTTTAACTGATTACAAAATCACAGTTGTAGTTGTAATATGGATTAGCTCAAAGTATCAAATCTTCCACCAAAATCAAATAAATGAGTATAATCAACAGTGGCATAAGGGGTGGAATTTTCATATAGCTCCCTTGGAAGAGAAAAATACATTACAAATGGAGGTCAGAATAAGAGCTGAAGAATGCATTAGGTTGAAGAAACAGGAGGGAATAGAAAGTTCACAAATGAAGGGCATTAAGGCAGAGCAGCAGCATGTTTTATATGGATTTTTAGCTTATTTTTCTTATTAGCAGAAAAAAATATGACTCCAGATCTGGGTTAATTTATTAGCTGTGGTAACTTGTTCCAGAATATAATTTTGAAAACTGGAAAAAATCTCATTGGAACCTATAAAAGTTTACAAAAAGCCAACATTTTTCTTTGAGTGCTTGTTCATGTGAGTTCCAACTATGGGAACACCTGTGTGCATGGAAGCTGGAAGTTTTTTTTTCATTTAGCAGCATCTGTCATGTTGGCCTGGATGCCCCCTAGTGCTGTTATGGTGTCTAATATATAGCCTTGCTGACCCACCCTCTACCCAGTTCCTTCTTACCACTTGGTGATGGCAGCTGGGACCTCTTGCTCTTACTTGGCAAGTGTCCTGTTTGTTTGTTAGTTAAGTTCACTAGTTTGTCATATTACATAGTGTTGGGGGGTACCCCCTCTTTTTCTTCTTTCCCCCCACTAGCACATACTTTGGTACCCAGGGTTCAAAGCTTGCCAAGCCCGCGGCAAGCTTATGCTGAAGAGTGATTCCCACACGGAGTGCCTAAAGTGTCTCACTGAGGGTAACCAAAAAGAGAAGCACCACATCTGCAAAAGTTTTCATCTGTGGATACTTAAAGATCATGAGCAGAGTTTCAGGATCTTACTCATGGAGGCAGCTCTCTGCCCCCAATCCACTCTAGGGTCAGAAGTTTCAGAGGGGTAGCCATGTTAGTCTATACCTGAAAAACCTTAAAAACAGCAAATAGGCCTAGAGCATCTTGAGACTAACAACAAATGTAAATGGTATAATGAGATTTCGAGGGTTGTGCCCACGAAAGCTCATGATACCATCTACCTTTTTTGTTAGTCTCTAGGGTGCTACAGGACTATTCGCTGTTTGTTTTTTCAACCTAGGGTCAGTTGGTCTTATGCAAAGCACCTGTTCTTCGGCACTTTCTCCAGTTAGGCGTGTTTGTCACATGCCTCAACAGCAAGTATCAGCAGTTCTGTTCCTTGCAAATCCACAGTTAGGGCTCCTGCAACAACATGTTCCTCCTCCTGTGGGGAGGTCATCTCCTTTCTGCCTATTTCTCTTGTTCACAGGATACTTGTCAAAGATGAAAAGGAAGCGAGCTCAGGTTATATTGATAGTGCCAGCCTCGCCCCATTGGCACTGGTGTACATCCTTTCTAGGCATGTTAGTGGAGATCCCAATCACCTTACCACTCTTCCTGGACCTTCTGATGCAAGACCGCAGTCATCACTGACACCTGAACCTCAAGTTGTTGCACCTCATGACATGGAAGCTCCATGACTGAACACTATGGAGTTTTCCTGCTCTGACTAGGTTTGTCAAGTCTTCCTTTGCAGCAGGAAACCTTCTACGATATCCACCTACCTCATCAAGTGGAAGAGATTTTCAGTCTGGTCAGTTCAGTACTATTCATCCCGATGCTAGCCTTAGTACTGCTTATTCTGAACCACCTTGTCCACCTGAAGCACCAAGGGCTTTCAGTTTTGTCAGTAAGAGTTCATGTAGCTGCCATATCAGCCTTTTATCTGAGTGGCTTGGGGACAAGTGGTGTGTGCTAACTCCATGGTCATTTGGTTCTTGAAAGGACTAGAGAGACTATATCTGCATGTCTGAAAGCCTGTCTTGGCATGGGAGCTCAAATTAGAACTTTCTGGATTGATGGGACCACCATTTGAACCTTTACCAACAAATCATGATTTACCTCTATAGGTGGCTTTCATAGTGGTCATAACCTCGGCTAGGAGGGTTTTGGAGGTCAGGGCCTGACATTAGAGTCCCTCCCCCATGTCATGTTGTAGAAGGACAAGTTGCAGATAAGACCTCATCCCATTTTCTTCCCCAAAATGGTGTCAGTTCCACATCAATCAGGACAGCTTCCTCCTGGCATTCTGCCATAAGCCAAATTGGAACAAAGACTCCACTCTCTGGATGTACACAGCATTAAGAGAACTAGACTGTTCAGGAAGATGGTCTAGTTATGTGTAGCAATTGCAAATAGAATGAAGGTCAGCCTGTATGCACTCAACATATATTCGCTTGGATTGTCTTTTGCATTTGCGAGTGCTACAGCCTCACAGGTGTTCCCACGCCTGCATTTGTCATTCCCCCAGGGCACAGGCTTCATCGACAGCATTCCTGGCATAGGAAATCTTCAGAGTGGTGACATGGTCATTTACCCACGTGTTAGCTGCGCACTCTGCAATTACCCAGCAGGCTAGAGACACTGTGGCCTTCAGCAGAGCAGTGCCCCAGGCAGCGCAAGACTCCAACCCTAGCTTGTGGAATTTAAGCTTGTGAATCACCTGATTGGGATGCACATGAACAAGCACTCAAAGAAGAAATCATGGTTACTTGTGTTCTCATAACTGTTTTTCTTGAGATGATGTGGTGTTCATGTCCATTCCAATACCCATGCTTGTACTCTTCTGTTGGAGCTGCTGGCAAAAAGAAACTGGGGAGTGGGTGGGTTGGCAGGGCTATATATTGGGCGCCATAACGGTACAACCCTAGGGGGTGCTCAGGCCAATCCAACAGATGCTGCTAGGAGAGAAATTTTCTGGCTTCTATGCTTGCATGCGCGTGCACACCCATCTGATTGAAACAGACATGAATGCTACATCTCAAAGAACAATAGTTGTGAGAAGGTGAGTAACTATTTTATTCCAATGCCTTATTTTTTGACACAATTTTTCATTTCTAATCTTTTATAGTGGTCTTTGCATTTCATTGTTCTCCAGAAATGTAAGTTTCTCTATTTTTGTTTTTGCTTATAGATCAGGATATGGCTACACATCCCTGCTGTCATGCAGCACATTATACCTTTTAGGACCTATGTTATCAGGTAAGCTTTAAAGATAACAAAAAGTTTCATTGTTTGATAAAACATTAGAACTTCAAATTGTACCAGAACTCAAAAGCTTTTCAAAGTTCAAGCCATTTCTTTGTCTTGTCCATATGGTCTGGGTCTGTCTGATAGCCATATTTGGCTTTGGGAAATAATTCCTCCCTCCCCCCTATGGCTTGTTTGCTGGTAGACTGTCACTGAAAATAGGCAAAGATCTTTTTTTTTTTATTGTCTGGGCATGGTAGTGGATAAACTTTTAGTTTGGTTTATTTACTCTTGCCTTATTTCCAGTGAAGATATGTGAAGATCTGCTCTGAGTTGTTTTGGATTGAGGGAATTATTCCATACCTGGCCCTTCTTGTTCTCTTCCTTGGCTTATCTGTTAGCAAGGAAAGAACTCTATGGTCCAGATTATCATTCACACAAATGTGTCTTTATGTTAATTTGGCAATGTTAAGGAGACTTAAAGTGTATTGACTTTAAGGCCTCTTTACATTGCCAGAACACTGTAAAAGGGCCTTAACATAAATGAAAATGAAGCCCAATAATTTTACATTTCTTCTCCAACTGGTTAATGTTTAGACCCATGAAACAAGGCAAAAGAATGGAGTATAAATGTGGTTAGATCAGTTTAACCTCACTTGTGCCCATACTAGCTTTTAGCACAGGTGTGTCCAGTTTGCATGAATAGATACAAATTTAGAATATTGGCAAATGTATGAACTATTAATACTTTCTCTGAGGCTGATGAAACTGGATAGAATTTAGTTCAGCCATGGTGAAATTTGAACCCTGCTGAAAGACGATAGTTAAATGCTGTTTTTTATCAATACCGTAGTTAATAAAAACAACAAGGAGTCCTATGGCACCTTAAAGACTAACGAATTTATTTGGACATAAGCTTTTGTGGGGTGGAATATGCAGCAGTGCCCTTCTACCTCCTCCATTATCTACGATTTAGTCAGAAGTATACAGTACAAGTCATAAGAAGGTCATGGACTGTGAATTTTTGTTTATTGCCCATGTCTGGTCCACAACTTTTACTAAAAAATACCCATGACTAAATTGTAACTGTAAACATGGTTAGTTGTCCTAAACATGCCAGTGAACTATGTCTGAACCTTACTGGTGGTAGAAGTTATAGCAAGGGTAGGCAATAATTTTTGATGGGGGAGCCACTCCAAGATTTTGATAAGAGGGTATACTTTTCTGTGGAAGGGGAGTGGGGTCTGAGATGAAGGTTGGGTGTAGAAGGGAGCTCAGGGTAGGCAACTGGAGTGCAGGAGAAAGTGAGGGATCTGAAAGGGAGTTTGGGTGAAGGAGGGGATGAGATGCAGGATCTGGAAGAGGATATGGGTGTAATAGAGGATTCTGGCTTGCAGAGTTGGGTGAAGGAGGGGATGCAGGGTTTAGGAGGGAGTTGTTATCTGGGGGAGGAGGAATGCAGAGTGTTTGGGTGATAACCTGTGGCAGGGAGTTGGGATGGAGGGAGGCAGGCGCTGGCTGGGAGGTGCTTACCTACGTGGCTCACAGCCAGCAGCCCTGCAGAGCCCCAAGGCAGGCTCCCTGCCTGTCAGTAGCCTCAGACTGCTTAAGATGGCTGGCTGCTCCCTGTGGTGCTCTGCTCCAGGTACTGGAGGCGGGGTGGAGGTGGGGGTGGAGAAGGGTTTGCAGATTTCCCCCTGCCCCTAGCACAATTTCTTAGCTCTTTTTGGTTGGAACAGATAGCAACAGGGAGCATCTAGCCACTTAAAGCAGTGTGGGGGCTGCTTTGTGCCTGAGGATCCCTGTGTGGCGGCCCATGATCCAGATTTGATGGCTTGGCGGCTGGATTTGGCCTACAGACTGCATCTTGTCAATTCCTGGGTTACAGCATGATTATCTTGGTGTAGCCGGTCTAGCAGTTGTTTAGTGTGTAGACAGAACCATCAAACTGTGTTGCTGTAACCACTGCTGCCTTGTATGTGGCTGATTGCTGCTTGTGACTCCAAGGTCACTATGAAGGCAAGGATATTCACAGCTGCATAGGTTACTCTGTATGCGTGTTCACTTTTACACCAGCTATCCTTAGGGGCTTTGCTTCCTACATTATCAGGAAATGGTGGACTAGTTTAAATTGTCCAGCTATTCTGTTTTTTGTGTAAAATATTCCAGTATCTTTGGCAGCAGTGATTTGTTTTGAAACGTAGTGATTGGTCAATCTTCTTCAGCTTCTTCACACTACAGGGTGCATTCTGTGCCAAAAAATTATATTCTTCAAAACTCTGCATATTTTATTTATCAAAATAATGCCGTGTAATCCTGTGCAAATTATTTTGGTAATTTATATAAATTACAGTATAGAAAAAAAGCACAATAACAATTCAGCATTTCCTAAACACAATGAAAGTTTGTTACAGTAGAGTAACCAGTACCCTGTATTCCAGTTACTTTGGGACATGTTTGGTTCTGATTATCATGACATTTTATTTACTGCTTTATAAATCTTTTATTTGTCCTCAGAGTCTTTTTTTTTTTTAAATAAGTAAAGTAAAGTTGATCCTGAATTGTAATCTAACCCATTTGTGTCATTCTGGCACAGGAAAAAAATTGAGAAAGTACATAGATCTTCCTAGCTGAGGATTCGCTTACTGTCATTTACAGTAAGCTTCCTTTTCACCACTTTGTCAGTCTAAAGGAGCCTTAAAACCACAGCAAGAATGGGAATAGTTAACTAACAATAGGAACATTAACAACTGCCCAGGCAGGCTGCTATATTTCTGCCCAGTCTCAAGGAACAGAGTTTGCCTCAAGCCTATCTCCAAACAACCTAAAGTTTCATGCCTGGCACTCTGAAAGAGCAAGCCAGAGAGATGGAATCCCTCCTGCTCATTTTCATGCTATCCTAGTCCACCCTTACCACTGCTGTGATTTATGTCTCTGACAGTTGATCCAAGCACTCAAATAGTTTGGATCCACCCAGACTGAAAGGGCAGGGATGTGTGTGCTCTGCAGATTTCTTTGTTTTTCTGTTTGAAAGCAAAGAAATTTGCAGATGATATGAATTCTGTGCCCGCAGAGTGGTGCAGAATTTCCCCACAAGTAAATTCCTAGATTTTACGGACACAAAAATAGTTCTGAAGCATGGAAGGTTTCATACAAACACAGTTGACAAGGTTTTGCTGGGAGAAATTATATATATATCATTCTCTAAATATGTCAGAACCTGATTATATAACAAAGGTTCTATCAGCCCTGTAGGCGAGGACACAAACAAGAATATGGGATATGTCTATACTGGAGCTGGGGGCAAGTATCCCAGTCTGGGTAGACAGACTCACATTGGTGAGGCTCAAGCTGGTACTCTGAAAGTAGCAGCGTGGATTAGGGATACAAGCAACTAATCAACTAGTAAACTATTCAATAAGCAAAACCTTATCAGATAGTTGACGCATTAGGCGACTAGTCGCTTCCCCCCCCTTGCTGCCTCTATCACAAAGAGGCAGCAAAGAGGGGAAGAGGAGGTGGTGCTGGGGGGAGCCAGCTTAAGTTGGGTCCCCCCAGCTGCATCTCTGTGGGACAGGGCAGAGGCGCAGCAGTGGCGCTTTCTCTTTGAAATGTACAAGAGCCCCAGCAGAAGCGCTCGCATGGAGCCTGGGGTCAGCAGGGCACTTCTGCTTTGAATGTACAAGAGTCCCAGCGGGAATTCTTGTATACAGGCATTCCCCGGGTTACATCAATCCAACTTACGTCGGATCCCTAGTTACAAACAGTGGGGGGGAGGTGCAGCTAGTGCGGGGTGCCTCCCCCACTGTTGCCGCCTCCGGCGGCGCGGGAGGCGCTTCCCCCCAGCAGACCAAGGAGACACGGAGCTAGCGCCCTTCCCCCCCCAGCAGACCAGGGAGACGCGGAGCGGCTTTTCTCGCCGCGGAGGACGCGGGTCTGCTGGGGGGGGGAACAAGACACCAACCAAAAGGGGGCACCCCAGAAGGGAAAAATTAATTTCAAGACACCAGCCAAAAGAGGGCACCCCAGAATGGAAAAATTAATTTCCTAGGGAACAGCAGGAGCAGCAGGCAGAGAGACTCATTGTGTTACAGTCCCCACCTTGGGAGCAACAGCTCTTTCCCTCTTCAGCACTAGAGCTGCAAGTATCTTGTTAGCGTCACGTGAAATTAACAAGTCCCTTCCAGCCTGGCAGAGGTGAAGCTGAAAAATTACCCAGTGGTGTGGGTGGGCAAGAATTGGGTGGAGCACGGAACAGGGGATAAGCACCAACCTCACACCCTGGCTGGAGTGGAGCAGGGTAAGCCCCGAGGGGATGTGTCTGGTTGCAGAGTGGGTGAGTGGACAATGAGGACCCACCTGTGGCTACACTCCTGTTCCCAACACAGAATTTTTCTTTAAAATTAATCCTGTGGATAAATTCACACACACACTTCACAGGAAGGGATTTCCATTTTCTGCTCAGCAGAATACAACAGCTTTGATTGTATCAGTATTTCACTGTGCTCTCCAATGACTATTGCTTACACTTAATACCCATTTCACTGAACCATCTGTAGCAAATTCTATTTGGAACAGTAATATGCATTGAATAAACTTTTTTTAGTTATAAAAAACACAGATCCTGACTATTAAATGAATAACTGGGATCTTTCAGGTACCCCAAAAGGAAGATTTGGATATAGCATGAAACACTGAAACTTATGATCAATTTTTAATTAAAATATCAACCAAAAAAACCTTCATATCAAAACAGTATGTGTTTTTCTTAGAATAAGGAAGTTGTATGAGAATCAGGGTCTTTTCCACCTAACTCCAGCTCCCCGACTCCCCCCCCCCCCAATATGTACCAGTTCCGACTTACCTACAAATTCAACTTAAGAACAAACCTACAGTCCCTATCTTGTACGTAACCCAGGGACTGCCTGTATTTCAAAGTTGGATGCTGTGTGGAGTCCTGGGCCAGCGGGAAGTCCCCTGCTGACCCCAGGCTCCATGCGGGTGCTTCTGCTTTGAAATGTATAAGAGCCCCAGCAGGACTCTTAGCAGAAGCACTGCATGGAGCCTGGGGGCAGCAGGGGACTCCCTGATGGCCCCGAGCTCCATGCAGCATTCCAACTTTGAAATGTGCAAGAACCCCCACTGGGGCTCTTGTACATTTCAAAGGTGGAACGTGTGCTAGTCCTTATTGACTAATTAAATAGTCAATGGAAATCCCATCGACTATTCAATTAGTTAATCGATGTTTAACATCCCTAGTGTGGAAGTTGCAACTTAGGCTTCATGTCAGGCTCTAAAGCCTATGGGGTTGTGAAATCAGAATCATGTTTACTAATGGAACTTAAATCATTGGTTCTCAAACTGTGGGTCTGGATCTCAAAATGGGTCACAGTCCTGTTTTAATGGGTCTGCCTGGTCTGGTGTTAGATTTGCTGCGTCCCAGGCTTCATCTTCATCTCTGGCAATGGGGCTGGAGTTACAGGCCCCCTGCCTGGGGTTGAAACCTTTGGGCTTCGGCTTTTTCCCCTCTTGGCTCCCTACAAGGGGTGATAGAGGTCAAGTTTCATCTTTGTGGGATGGCAGGGTTCTGGCAGGCTGAGGCTTTCATTTCCTCTTTCTGGGGTTGCAAAGTAATTTTTGTTGTCAGAAGGGGGTTGCAGTGCAATGAAGTTTGAGTACCCCTGACCCAAATCATTCTATACAACTCTATTTCTTCCTTCTCACTTACCTATTTGATCTACTATGCTATAGATGGCCCATTACATTATTATTAATATACTATAGTTGCAAGTTATGTGTGTTTAGGATTAATATTTTTATCCTAAAGATTGCTAGAAATATATATATTTGAAATGCTCATGCAGGATTGTTTCGCATATGTTTTATGTGGAATCATGTCATATTTCTTCTTTCTCCTTTTTTCATGATGTATTTTAGGTATTTATGTAAACTGTCAGACCAAGAATTGCGACAGAGTGCAGCCCGGAACATGGCAGATTTAATGTGGAGTACAGTCAAAGAGCCATTGGATACAGCCTTGTGTTTTGATAAAGAAAGTCTTGATCTTGCGTTTAAGTACTTTATGTCTCCAACTTTAACAATGAGATTGGCTGGCCTGAGTCAAATAACAGTAAGATTTTTTTTAATCTAAAATTACATTTAAGAAAAAATATCCAAATTGTACTTTTTCCCATTAAACAGTGATAAAGGGCAGCAGAATCATTTTATGAACAATCACAGAAAATCATAGAGAGTCATTAAAATGGGGATTGTGATTTGTCCTTTGTCATACTCATCAGATTTTGTATGTACTAATATAAATTGTGTTCAGAGAGATGGTTAAGGCATGGTTCCATATTTTTACAATATATTGGACTATAACCCCCTCTCCAAGCCATTTAGTGTATAAAATGGAACTGTTTTAACCATGTTGTGGGACTACCATGATGTAGTTGTGTCCTTGTATTTGCTTGGCTTGTAGTTTAATAAAGGACTTAAATCTTTTTTTAAAAACTTTTCCTGTATCAGAGTATACTATAAGTCAGAGTGAGCAGCAATTTTTGATTGGGGGGGAGGGGCACTTTAAGAATTTGGTAGGTGGTCAAGGACTGTACTCTTCCATGATATTAGTAGAGGAAGTGCGGGGTCTGGGATGGAGGTTGGATACAGGATGGAGCTTGGGTGAAGGATTGGGATGCAGGAGGCGGTTTGGGGTCTGGGAGGGAATTTGGATGAAGGAGGGGGTTGTGATCTGGGGCAGAAGACAGGGGTGCAGGAGGGGTTGCTAGTGTCTGGGACAGGGTATGGATGCGGAAGAGGATTCTGACCTGGAGGAGTGTTATAGTATGGGGAGCAGGACTTGGGAGGGGGTTGTGACCTGGAGAAGCAGCATAGGATGGTGTGCAAGGATTTGGGTTGTGACCGGGGGTAGAGGATTACCTGCAAGACTGGGAGGGAATATGGGTGCAGGAGCAGGGGTGCAGAGGATTTGGGTTACATGGTGTAGGGAGGCAGAGGGGTGGGGGGTGGAGGGAACGAATGGGATGCCAGAGGCAGGCTCTGTCTGGGAGAAGTTTACATGGGTGGCTCCCTGCTAGCAACCCAGCAGGTTCCTTAGCCAGGGTCCCTGCCTTCCATGCTCCTGCACCATCTGTAGGGGCCATGTGCATCTGTGGACACCACAAGCCCCGGGGAAACTGGCCAATGGGAGAAGCAAGATTTTGCTGGGGATGGGGGCAGCCCTTGAAGCCTCTCTCCCCATTCTCACTCCTCTGAGCAGTATATGGGGGCTGGGAAGACAGGGAGCCTGGCGAAAGCTCCTGCGAGCCAGATCTAGCGGCTTGGCAGGCTGGATGTGGCTAGCAGGCTGTATTTTGCCCAGTGCAGCTATAAGTAGATTCCTCTTGTTCATAATAATGTGAGAACATTGATGCATCGTTAAGAATCATTTAGAATTTTACTGAGACAGGTTAAATATATTTAGCAAGAGAAAATATTTAAAAACCAACAGACGAAGAGGTTAAGAAAGAAGCTTCGAATTCTGAAGTACAAACAAAATAATATAAAATCATGAAGTACAAACAAAATAATAACTTGTAGTTTTGATGGTTCTATCTTTGAATAAGCATTTTTAATATTTTATAAAATTTCAGATACAATAAGAAAGTGGTAACTTTGACATAATTGCTAAGTTGATCTCAGTTTGGATAAACTGCTTTGAAACTTTTGAGACCTTTGATTGCAACATTTAAAGCATGTGATACCAATAACCCATATGCCTTCTCAGTTATAAAAGTAGCACATTTTGTTAAAACTGATTTAGAGCACATTGTATTTTTTTTGTAAAATATTTGTGTATAGTTCTGGGTGGTTTTGATGTATCTCCTATTTGCAGTATATTTTTTAGTAGGAGAAAATAAAACTCCTGGCAAGAAAAGATTACTAAGACTTGCATTCATGTCTTTGGAGCTCAGTTTGTTGTTATACTGTTCTCTTTATTCTTTATCAATTCTGTTCCCTAGCTCAGTATCATGTTCTGTTCAGTTTTGTTAATTTTGTAATTCCTGCTGCAATAAAAGATTTCATTACAAAGTAATGATGGGTGAGGAGGAGAAGGTTCCCTGACAACAGATGCATCTGATCTTGTAGTATAAAATTTATATATTATGGATAGGTTTGGTAGAATTACATTTTTATTTATTATTTCAGTGAATAATATCAGTGTTTCTTTTTAAGTATTTTTCTATTTTAATCTATTTAAATTTTCATGGTCCTGCAAAATTATGGGTTAGCATTTTTTTTCAATTATTATGCGTTTCAGTTTTAGGAAATTATGGTGGTCAGACAGTTGGGGAAATCACACAATTTTTATTTAAAGACTGTAGACGTTGAGATTTTGTTTGTAAGGTTTAAAACAATTGTTAACATGACATATCAAAATATCCTTTTGATTCTAAAGTTGTCAAGCAACATTTTTTTTCTTAGGCTATCTGTAAATTTTGGCTATCATTGGTGGAAATATGTTTTTGTTTGAGTGAACAGTAAAATTGACATTTACTAACATTTTACTGGTACTCTTCAAAGCCTAATTATGGGAGATGAATCATAAATATCTTAAATGTCATGAAACTTGGTTATAAGCCCAGAAATCATTAATCAATAAGCAAAACTAGTTTCTAAATGTAGAATTAACTGAAGAAATTGATGTTCAGAAATATATGCACGTGCATATAGGTCTAATTAGTTTCAGCAATTTGTGTCCTGTACCCCAAAGTATTCAAAACAAAAGATTCCCCACCTATTTTCCAATAAAAATATTAATTAATTAATTAATTAGTAGCAATTCCACATACTATTAGACAATTTTATAATATTATCGGCTTTGCCTTTTGAATCATCTTGAAAACTATGAAACTTGCTGATGCCTCTTTCTATCTTTACTTAGTCTGGCACTTGTGGTTAAACTTGGGCTGCTGTCTTCAGTCTTGCAACCCCATTTCACCTCATGCTTAACTATGCATAGTTTGGCGAGATGATGTAGGCAGCTCCAAACCAAGCTAAAATCATGTCAAATAAATGTGTTCTTTGCATAATGATCCCTGTTGTATTTCACTGTAGGTTTTGCATACACAATATGAACTGAAGCTGGAGAAATTGAATGTAGTGTCTACTGATCAGTACATGCAGCCTTGTTCACCTCATGTCTCCATCCAAGGGGATAAAGGGCAAGGTGGACAGACTTTCATTTATTCTTACCACCACATGGTCTGACTTAATAGCTTCAGTGTCCAAAGCTTTGGCTTTGTCCTACAAAACAAGAATTTGATCTAGTTTTGAAAATGGTTTAACAGTTTTCATAGTCTACAGCTAGGCTACAGCTACATTGGCCAGTCTTGCACAAGAACATATGCAAATGAGACACGGTGATTAATATTGCCGCACCTCATTTGCATACTTAATGAGCCATCATTTTTGCGCAAGGAGCCAGTCTACAATGCTCCTTTTTGCGTAAAAAAACCCCTCTTGCGCAAGAGCCATTCTGCCTAAAAATAAGCCTCATTTGCATATGTTCTTGTGCAAGACTGGCTAGTGTAGACATAGCCCTAGTGTTTTGTAGCTCTGTTAGGGTACATCTCAAAGAAGGGCTAAAGTTGGATTAAGCTATGCAACTTCAGTTAAGTCAGTTGCGTAGCTTAAATTGAAATGACTTAACTCGGTTTTTGGTTCTGTGTACACAGCAGAAAGTTGAAGG